ATCAGTATGTGCAGTTCAGCCTACTCCTAGTGGAAGGAAAATACAGAGTCCTGTGGGCTTGTGTGGGTGTGTCTGAGTTCCAGGTCGCTAACTGTCATGTCTGAGAATAGGCCATTCTGTGCTCTGATACGATGCTCACCTCTTTGGTGTTAAATTAATCTCTTCTTTATGAAATTATGGTGCTGGTAGGCAGCAGTAGATCATAGTGACTTTCTTTTCTAAATATTCTTACTTGGCAAGAGGGAAAAAACTGGGAAACAAAGAGCAGCAGTGTTTAATTTTTTGGTAAAAAACAGGAAAAAACATTCTTCAAAACACCAAGTAGGCAAGGAAAGGTCTTTGAAGAACACAGCCTGTAATGCAGGCATCCAAGCCACCATGCCATCACCGATAGTGTGCCACGTAGAGTCAGCAGGGAAGGATTTGAGGAGGGGCCACTGGGAACTGGGCCCTGGCCGGGTGCCCTCTCAGGCCTGGCTTCAGGTGAGCCAGCCCAGGGTCAATGCACAGCTCTCGTGGGCCCAAACTTTGGCCTTTGTGGGCCCCTCCTCCTTCAAAAACATTTTAAATTCCTATTTTACAACTGGTAGTATCAAGATTAATACATTAGTGTGTATTAAAACATGTTCCCAGACCTAAGAGTTCCCTGTTTCTTCCAATTTTAAGAGACTAAAACATTTTCATGGGCCTCTAAAAGAATGGTGGGCCCTGGCTCCCCACCCTGCCGCCCCGCCCCAGCTGGCCCTTGCCAGACATGCCAGGTCCCATGCCACTGCCCCTCCCTGTTTCATAGATGAACCATGACTTCAAGGCATGCTGTCTGCTTCTGGATGCCACAAAACCCTAGTGTCAGTGTCCCCCCAACCTCCACCTGTGGAGCTGTTTTGCTTTAAACTTGCCCTGAAGTGGAGCTAGAAAGATCCCTCCTCTGCCCCACATATCCTTACACATCACTGAATCCTCCAAGCTTTGTTCCAGCATCATATTACCACATCAAGACATTTCATATCAAGTCACATCATAGATACCACCAGCCTCCGTCAAAGCCCAGTTCACACACAGCCAGACACTAAATCTGTTCAGGTCCAGCTGCGTGTGGTAGCTCACATGTGTGCATGTGCTCAGGGAAGGCTGAGGCTGGGACTGTCCCACAGTGCTGTTCCCTTACTATCAAGCCAGGCATCTAATGCTCTCCTGCTGCCCGTATTTCACAAACTTGAGATATTCTGGTAAGGAGCATTTCCATTTATTCCAGCTAGAAATGGGTTTGCATTCCTTTGACCAACAGGGCTTTAAAATTAATGATGATGTTGAAAAATTCTCAGAAGAATCTGTAAGGATAGCTAATAAATAGGTGTATCTAGTGTTTAGGGTGAAAATACTTTCTTCTTCAGGATTCTGTAGATGTAGAATCTCTCCCAGGCAATAGGCTGCATTCTGAATGTCTTTGGAAAACTGTTTATGGGTAAGAGCAAATGGAGGTTTCCTGCACAAGGGGAGGAAGTATGGAGGAAGTGGGACGGGATGGAAAGATCTCTGGGGCTGAAGCTTGTGGGTAGTGAGACAAAAAGTTGAGAAGGCTTTCTCTGCCCTGAGGCCCTGCAGAGTAGAGAATGATACAGGTAGGATTTATGACCAGGGCCTGACCTGGGCCTGGCCTGGCCTTCCTCTCTCCTGGTCCATTGAAATGGCCTCTGTGGCCAGGCCCTACTGGGAGAGGCAATAACCTCCTCACGGGTCTGCGTCAGCCCTGTTGTGGTTTAGTCAGGCAGGAAGCATGGGCCTTGGCGAGGGTGCTTGTCCTCCATGGGGAGGATGCGCTGGCGTGTTTCTCATCGCCTCCCGGGCCCTGAGTGCAGGCTGTTGGCCTCAGCCCAGTGGTGGTGAAGCTGGCATAGATTTGGTGTTCACATGGGGCTTTGTCACAGACTGGAGCCGAGAAGGGCACCCTGGGCTCTAGGCAGTGACCCGCCCCCTGTCCCCCATGGTCAGGGGCTGAGGGGCATGGGTGCATCAGGGCAGACACATCCACAGTGGATCTGCAGCTGCACCTGCACACAGGGCACTTTGACCCGGAATCACACGGTAATTCAGGCACTTTAACATTTGTTGTTTAATTTGTATTTCTTTTATCACTGATTTGTTGCTTCGTGGGTTTGCCGGCCCCTTTAATTCCTCACCTGTGAGGCCAACCTTCCTGGTCCAACAGCCTTTATTCTGTCAGCAGATTTTCTCCACATTCCCACCACTCCCTTACTGGAGACCACGAAACTGTCAGGTTCGGTCCAGCTTATCCAGTCAGCGGCCGTAACGGAGCGCTCTCTCTGGCTCTCAGACTAAGCTTTGTGCCATTTGGCTTGTCTCTCTGAGGCTGTCCGCAAGGAAGCAGAAAGAACCCCTCAGCTTTTCATGGCCCCCACTCGCTGGGCTCCCCGCCAGCAGCCAGAATCCCCACCAGCTTTTCATCTGAACACAGCCCTGTCCCATGCTCAACACAGCTTTATGTGATGTAACTGTAGAAGGTGCTTCCTATTTAGAATCTAGATGGAGTAGGGAGCAGGACACTTACCTAAGTCAGTGCCAGCCCTGTAGCCAGTGAGTAAACCAAGGATCAGGGAGCCTGGGTGCCCTGCTCCTGCCACGGAGCTAGTTCAGCCCCATTACCTAATGTCTAGGGGTGCACTGTCTGCTCCCACCCCCCCTTGTGGGCAGCTACCCTGTGTAACAGGCAGGCACCTGGTGCCCACAAGTGGCATGGATTCCATATGCGTACTTGTGGATCCTGGTGTGTGTCTCCCTGTGGAAAGCAGAGCCGAGTCACCAAACAGAGAGATCTTGCCCAGTTTTCAGTCTTTCTTCTGTCACTTTGTTTAGCCGGAAGCTAGTTCAGGGCTTTAAACAGACCACAGACCCTCCAAGTGGAGCTGTAGTGCCCTCCTCAGACCAGCTGCCAGGACTCCACACCCTGACTTAATGGCAGATGCAAATGATTTAAAAACAGGAAGCACCTTCCACAGTTATGTCACATAAAGCTGTGTTGAGCACTAGACAGGGCTGTGTGCAGATGAAAAGCTGAGGGGGATTTTGGCTGCTGGCAGGGAGCCCAGCATTTGGGGGCCATGAAAAGTTGAGGGGTCCTTTCTGCCTCCTTGCATACAGCCTCAGAGAGACAAGCCAAAGGGCACAAAGCATGGTCTGAGAGCCACAGAGAGCGCTCCGTTACAGCCGCGAACTGGATAAGCTGGACCAAACCTGACAATTCCATGGTCTCGAGTAAGGGAGAGGTGGGAATGTGGAGAAAATCAGCAGACTGGAGCCAGGAAATGATGTCCAGTGCCACATGGCTGGGGTAGGACTGAAGGTGGGCACAAGGGCAGGGACTTCATCCATTGTCACTGCACTGCCAGCACCTGGAGCAGAGCCTACACAGCATGGCCCAGGAACAGGTACGGAACCAGGGGTGTGCACTGCACAGGACTGGGGGTACACTCCACAGAAGGCATTCTTGTCACAGAAGTAGGCCTCTGGGCAATACTTGGCTGCTAGCTTGCAATTCCTGTAACTGAATCAGCAGGCTATTTGTGGGTGGAATGAGATAATAACCACCAAGCAACACAGATGTCCAACTTAACGCTTTGGCAATATATGTTCACTGGGTTCAGGATGGGAGACCTCTCTGTTTAAGCATCTCTTCAGTCCTTCCCATTAGTAACTCTACCCCTTTAAGGACCCTGGACTAATTTGATCTTGGGTAAATTTTCACTTTCTATTCCACTGTACTGTGGTTTAACTTTTTCTTCTTAATCTTTCTTTTCAAATGACATATGAAGGCATTTCTTTACTACATAAGTGGGAAATTTCCTAATATAAGCTTTATTTACTGTTCATTACTATTACTAGACACAACCTACTGTTTACTATAGGGGAACAAATCTGCCTTCACACATACAACCTTGCCTTTTCTAATGTGGACTTAGAGAGTGGCCCAAATCCTGTTGCGCCCAAGTCATCTCCAAAATCTGCCGTATTGAGTTGTGGGGTCCTAGAGAGTGGGGTACAGCCTCTGCAGGTTTTCCTAGGGTGCAGAGGTGGCCCTGGATGCCCCTTGGACACTGCCCTTATCCTGACGGGTCTGGGTCACCTTCCCTCCATCTCATTTCCCTCACATCCAGACCCAGTTGTTTCGGTTTGTAGCGAAGTCCCTTGAACCAAGAGGAGTACCAGTCAAGAGCTGCTGTGGCAGAGATGCCAGAGAGGGGCCCCTGAGCATGTACCTGCCCTAACCCTCAGATGGGTTGGCAGATGTGAGAACCCAGGCCTCAGCGTGGAAGCCCAGAGCCAGCTTCCAGGCCGTGGACTCATCCTCTAACTTGACACACAGACACTTTGATTCTCTAGTGAAGTAGGAGGCTATGGAAAACATCTCTCGGGACAAACGGTAGGGCCTGCTTGGAGAACAAACGTTACAAAATCAGACTGTTAATTAAAGCTGTCATGAATGTTTTGGCCAGGATATATGAATCAAATGGATACCTTACAAGGTACCAAAGGCATTAAAATTCCAAATGCTCTTGAATCACGTCACTGGTTAGAACCCAAATACGCAGGTGCATGCCTTGGGCTGTATTACTGCTGGGCCACACCATGGATGCAGTTTGACAGAGTCTGTGGCTGAAGCTCTGTTGAGGAAGCAGAATATCATCCAAAAAATGAGGTGTTGGGCATGAATCGGTCAGCAGTGGGCAGAGGACATAGTGGTTCCACCTGAGCTCTCCTCTCTCCCCAAGGATCTGAAATAACTCAGGGCAAATCCCGAGGCTCGGTGTCAGCCAGCCCTCCTCCTGCTGTGCAGAGTTCAGCCTCCAGTTCCTTCAGCACAAAGATGTGTGTGTCATAATGGAATCAGTCTCATTGTGAGCACCACGATAATGCAGAATTGCCATGTCATTGTTAATGTGCTGTTCTTGTCTTCTGTCCCCTTCTGTTATTGGACCAAACAGAAGTATTCTGCTGTTTCTCTCTGCAACATCTCCACAGAAGTCCTGAAAGTCATCAATGCCACAGAGGAGCTGATAGCAGAGTCGGCAGGGCCCTGGGAGTGCCCACCTGCCCCTCCCAACAGAGAGAAGGGGACATTTCCTCTTGGGACAGACCAATTGAGACTGGATGAGCAGCTGACCTCCCTGGAAGAAAATGTAAGAGGCAAATGTGCCTGTGCACATGTGCTAAGAAGCTGATGAAGTTAAGTCATCACAGGAGTGGGAGGACACACACCCCCCACATCAGCACCACCACAGCACGCGTTCTCAGCAAGAGGCTCAGTTGGGGGCTCCAGAAGCAGGCTATGCGCCCAGGGTTTGGGTGCAAGTGGTCCTTTAGGGCAGTGCTCCCTGGGGAGGCTGGCTAGCAGTGGGGAAAGAAACCGGGAGGGAGGAGGCCAAGCCATGTATGGTCTCAGACCGAGTACCTGACCCTGTCCTGAGAAAGGGGGCTCTGGGGTATATGTTGCCTGATCCCACTGAAGGCAAAGGAACTGGCCTCCCAGACACCGGCAAGCACTTCACTCTGCACAGGGACAGCGTCTACACGAGCCCAAAGGCAGCCTCCTGTATAGGTTTGAGCCGGTGGCAACAAAAGCACTGAGTGGGTGACAGAAGTGGGAGCATGGGAGGGGAGTATGCAGAAGCCGTAAAAGGAATCTGGGAATCAACGCAGGTTACGGCAGCGGGTCTTCCCTGCCTCCCAGAAATGTGCCCAGGTCATGGAGTTTTCTAACCTGACTTGCAAGGGAAGGAAGAATATAATAGATTCTTAGGTATAAATACCCACAATCATTGTCAAGCATTTCATTAAATGTCTGGTGAGAATTTTCCGGCACTGCTGATCAGGAGTGACACACACATTTGGACATTAGCCACTCAGACCCCTGTCACCATCACAGGTAGCACAGCCCTGCCCATGAACTGGTGTCAGACCAAGTCAAACAGAATCCACCCCGACTTTGGGGTGCTCTGATGAGTGCAGCTCTCAGAAGTCAGGAACTGTCACTAAAGGCAATTTTTGCTAAATGTTCAGCATGGCCCGTGACTACATGGCTACTTACTTCATTTTGCTGCTCTTTCTGTATGCTGGCACCACTGCCAGCTAGGTGAGACAGTTCTGTGCTGGGGGCTGTCCTGTACACTGTAGGCTGTTTACCAGAAGCCCTGGTCTCCACCTATGAGATGCCAGTAGCACTCTCCCAGTTAGGACCAAGCAAAAATTTCCCACTGTCAAATGTTGGAGGGTCAATGCAGGGAGGCAGGCACAGCCACCCTAGGCTGGAAGCCGGATGTACAAGTTCCCACAGCACAGGCCCTGCTCTTACCCCTACAGCCTGAACCCTTGGCCCAGGGCAGGCCAGGGGCTCAACAAATGTCTATCTGACAGTGGTTACACCAATGAATGAAGTCCTTTTTTAAAAGAAATGTTTTCCTTGTAATGTGCAAGGCCATTGTTCTCCAGTGTCTGTAACATAGTTCTCCCAGGGCTGAGCCCTGTAATGGCCTTAACCCTGGACACTCAGGACTAAAAAGGTTAAAGTGAAGATACGGTTCACCAGGAAAGGGATGTATTTTTTCTTTAACATCGTATCTAAAGAATTCCAGTGTGTGGAATATCCAGATTTAAGAGATAATCATCAGTTCCCAGAGCAAAGACAGCATGCCTCTTTCTTCCTCCAAGGAGCATGTGGGGAAACACAGTGGCCTTCTGGGAGTCTTCATTTTTGTTTGTCCCCGTGGGTCTGTTAACAGTCTCAGGTGGAAACACCGCTTGTCCACCTACCTACAAGGTAGGAAGCCTGCAGGGCCATGTGCTGGTGGGGCTGGCATTTTCTGCGCCTGTCCAGCTCCACCCAGGTGCTGCTCCTGTTCCCGAAAAGCTAAGGGCTGCTTCTCCTCCTGCCCTTCCTCTCAGGAGCTTCTCAAATCCCCCTCAGGAGAAACTCCATCTTTCTTTGAATTCTGTGAGCTTTGGGCTGAAGAAGAGACGGCTCTTGTCTTTCTGCAGTTTACTGGATCACAGCCTGGGTGGCTTGCAGGTGCCGTGATTTAGCATGGACTTCTGTTGAGCGGCAGGAGAGCGGGATGATTCTAAGCTGGCTGCTGGGCGCTGCCAATTTAATGAGTGGCTCTGTCTGCTGCTCCAAGGAGCCCGCCTCCATTCCCCAGTCACCTGTCTAGTGCTGAGGGCCCAGGACTGTCTGTCAAAAACAGAAATGGCAACACTTGTCCTCGCCTTCCAAACACTGGCTGCTGCAGACCAGGACTCTGAGATGAAAGAGAACACTTACTGGAGAAGGTTTCATCTCTAAAACTATTTCTGAAGGTTTCAGAGCTACATGAGAAGAAACAAGCAATGTCACATTTGTAGGTCGACCCTGTTCTCGTAACCTGCCTTACTAGTCCCCTTCGCAGAGCAGGGGGTGGAACCCCTCAGTCCCCAGCCTTGGCCCTTATCCCTGCTGCCTGGCTTTGGCACCGGGAGTCAGCTACCATCCCCCCAGAAGTTGGAGGGGCCTGGGGCCAATATTAGCCCCCGGCGTACACAGCAGCCTCAGTCTCTGAATTGAATGTCTTGATCTCTGGTATTTGCAGCTCTTCCTGAGGGCTGTTAGGTATGGGCTCCACTGCAGTTGTGGAGACCAGCTGTCAAATGAGGTGTGGATAAGTTAAAGGGGGCTGGGACACCCGGAGAGAACAGCAGAATAAGCAGGGAGACCTGGAGCTTAGAGGGCAGTCGCCAGGGAGCTGCATGAGGAGAGAGCAGGGGAAGGGCTGCCTCCTGCCTGCTGCCCTGACCTCCTGCTGGTGTCTCCCATGGGCCAGGCCCAGCCAGCAGGCCTGAGCGAAGTCCATGCAGGCCAGCCTCCCAGCAAACAGAGCAGATGAGATGGAAAATGGATTGAGGACCACTGGCAGACTATTATTAGGCCTGCAGCATGAATGGCAGGGACCCACAAGGGCTACCTTGTGCATGGAGGTAGTCGTGGGGGAGATGAGTTGACTCCCTTACCTGCCCATCCCCATCAGAGGACCTTCCTCATTCTCATCAGGGGGAAACAAGGGACAACCTGGGGTACCCCACAGCTCCCAGCCTGGAGGCAGTGGAGGGACAGTCCCGGAGGCTGTTCCGGCTGTCCTACAACTTTGGGGAATGCCACATACATGGCCCATGTGTGTACACCCACAGGCAGCAGACGCAGTGCAAGTGCCCCACACGGAAGCCCCGCTCTGCCAGAAAACCCGGGAACTGACAGAGGATGCTGGTCCTCCTCAAGGCTTCTGTACAAGCCCACAGCACGGAGAGAGGGTGCGGCACCGGAACTGTGGCCACGGTTACTCAGGCGGTTCTGTGCCTTGAGAGAACAAGAGAGATGCTATCAGTTCCTGTCCACCACGAGTCCCATAAAGTATATTCCATAGAAGCCAAATCTAACAAGGATTTGGATCTAAGATCACATTAAGTTTGGTGTGTCTGTACACTTTTTCCAGGAAAATTGAGATATATACAGTCGCACATTGCAGACTCTGAGAAGGCCTGCAGTAAAGAAATCTGTTTAATTCTCTTTCTCCTGGGGGCTTTGGCCACAAAGTCCTTCCTAATGAACACCTAGTCTCATCCCTTGAGCCACTTTGAGAAAGGCTTGTTGAATGGGGGCCAGTCAGTGTGGTCATGGGCACCTGTGACTAGAGTGTGGAGAAGTCCTAGATTACTCGAACATGGTAAACACCATAGTACTCGCCAAAATCGGACCTTCACTAAAACAAGCAATCAGGTTAATGTTTTTCAAATGTTTTTTTAAGGCTAGAATAACATTTTTGTTATTGTAACATGTTAACTTCTTATGTGAGCCCAGCAGCAGAGCTGATGTCATGTCAATGTAGTACCTTTACATCAAAATCTGTCAGTTGTAAAACGTTACAACTGAGATTAGCTATCAAGGCATCACAGGGCAAGGTGGATAGAGGCCTGAGACCTGGCAGCAGCCCTCCAGAGCTCAAACCCAGGCTGCACAACTTCCCAGCTGTGAGACTGCAGGAGGAACCGAGCCCCTGGAACAGGACGTTCTCATCTTTAGCACGTGACTGGAAGAGTACCTACTACGTCATGGGCTGCCGCGAGCATTAAGTAAGCCACATCAAACCTTTGGCTTAGCGCCTGGCCCAGTGAACATGGTTGTCACCTCCCATTCCTTAGACACCTTCGCCTTCTCTGTAGGGTCCTGTTCAGCCAGTGTCAGTGCCAAACCACTGAAGCTCTCCTTCCCTCAGGCCAGGAAAGCAGTCTTTTAGGGAACCCAAAGTAAAAAATTAACATTCTGGCCTCGCTGTCGGCTCAGAGCTGTTTCGTATTGCTTTGTCATGGCAGAAAAACCACATCAGCGGATGACCACGTGGAAGACCAGAGGCCAGTGCTGTCAGGCTGACGGCAGTGGGGTGTGAGAGTGAGATGGTGCTGAGCTTTGCATGTTTCTGGAAAAATCAAGGTTCTGAGACCAACGTTATGTCAAGTTAGGTTTAACCACAGCCACACTCAACCATTTCATTCAAATAACAATTCCAAATTTTGTTTCATTGTGCAAAACTTAAATTTGCATTTTAAATTACCTTATCAAGATAAATTTGGTGTGGGTAGCAAAGTATAACAGCCAAGCTCAAAACTGTCCTGGCTCTCTCTCTTCTCCTCTCATTCTCTCCTTATTTTTTCTTCCTTCTGAAGAGACATCTTTTAACTTCAACCCTTTTAAAAGACAAATACTAAATGATTTCTTCACCCAAACATCTTTGAAATATTCATTTCCTTGCTATGGCAAATAATACAGCACTGAGTCTAGTTCTGAAGACAGAGTAAATGACTGTGTTAAACGGCAAGGATCTTAGAAACAGGTGTTCTGAACAGCAGTGTGGCACTGTGGGTGCCAGAATCACGCACCCCTCCCCTCCTCTGTGGCCTACAAAGCGCTGAGCCCACTGTCAGTCGCCACCGGAAGCCCCAGCCCCACCGGTAGTGCTTGTTGATGCACGAATTTGCTTTCACCAAACCCGTACCTGCCTTGGTTCCACTTTGAAAGGTTTTGTAAAATTGCCCCTTTTAATGCAGATGCATGCGTCATGCCGAGGAACTGATGAGAGTAGGAGCATCTGAGTCTTTCTCCTCACCAACCCTCAGTGTGGCCAAGAGCAGATGTGCCTGACTTGCATGCAAAGCTCTTGCTTATCTTGTTTTATTTTTAACCCAAGTGAAAGGAACTGGTAAAGGGTGACTGCACTCGTTTCATTCAAATTCAACGTTGCTGTGATTACATGTTTAGAGCTTTATATACATTGATTAAGTCTCAAAACCTCTCTTTAAGTAATTAGCTTCTTTAGAGCCATCTTGTTCCTTGTGTGGGGGTTATTTTGTCACATTATTGTTTCGGCCACAGAAGCTCTGGTTTCATTCACCCTGACTGGCATCCCTCAGTTTGAATTACTTCAATAATTTTACTTTGCTCACTTTTATGGGAATCACTTTATAAACTCTTAAAGTCAAAATATTTTTTCCTTTAACTTTTCCTCAGATCACTCTCCTTATCTGATGTTCTTTTTAACTTCATAGATTTAACATCCTTCTCTTAACATCAAACTATTTTCTAAGAAAGTATTTCCCTACTGTAAGTTTCAGATCTATCTTAATTCCCTTAACCTATTCCAAGCAAGCTGAAAGTAATCAAGCAGAGATAATTCACTAAAAATTTGTAGTTGTTTTAAATTAATTTCATCTGTTTCATGTGTTCTGAATTTTTCTTAATTACTAAATTAAGTAATGTATTTTTTTTTATTTTATTTAAGACCAAAATTTTTCTTGGAAAAAAACCACATCATGAGCTTTTCTCTTTGTTTCTTCTGTCTTGATATTATGGTTGTTAGGGTCACTGGACACATTCACAATTTATGTAGCTGATGTATTTTGTACTATTTTATTGTATTTTCAAAATTTACAAATTGTTTTTTCTTGCAGGAAAGTTGGGGGGAGGTGGTGTGGCTGATACTGAGGGGGTGGTAAGACCTCATGCTACCATTTAAGGTGAAGCATGTCTCAAATGGGGACATTCCCTGTCTTTGCCCCCAGTGTGGAGCCTGGCACTTGTTTACTCCCTGGAAGTACCAGGACTCCATGCAAGGGCACCCCTGTCCTGGCTCCACAACCTGAGCTCAAAGGCTGTACCTCCTCTACAGGTGTACCTGGCGGCAGGCACTGTGTATGGACTCGAAGGCCAGCTGACTGAACTGGAGGATGCCGCCCGCTGCATCCACAGTGGCACTGATGAGACTGAACTGGCCCATCTGGAGGACCAGGTGGCCACGGCTGCAGCCCAGGTCCACCAGGCTGAGCTCCAGGTAAGAAGTCTCCTCTCTGCCCAGACAGAGGACCACCTGGCAAAAGGAGAGGGTGCCCTCTTCCACAGGAGTCGTTTCAAAGGCTCAGTAGTTCCCACCACCTCCAGTGTAACTTGGGCGTGTATGGTCCTTTCAGGTGGGTTCCACGAATCCTCTTTTTTTAAAGTGCAGCTCTCTTCTTCCCAAACTATAGCCTTCGTAATGGATCAGACATCTCTTTAATGCCTATGCCACTTTCCTCGGACAAATTCTCTGACCCATGGGTAGGTCTCCTTGCTAATAGGTCCCCGTATATGGCACACCCTTCTCTAGACCACCTTTCCACCCCGGGACCACCCAACCCTTATTACACCATTGACCACTTATTTAATGCCACTTTACCCCACTATGGACTGAAAGCTCCATGGGGACAGGACTGTAGCTGTGTGTATACCCAGTAACTCCAGCACCTAGATACTTCACACAGGCTTGGCACTCAGAAAAAAATGGGTTGAATAAATGAGTGAAATTGGAAGCTTAGATTTCTTAGACCAATATTTTGCATGACTTAGATATAGCATTTCAGAACTGATCACTACATTGTCTATAACTTTGTGAAGATGCTTATTTGCAGTTTTCATGGATAACTCCTTGGCCTCTGACTCTGGGTCAGAACTGATTGTGTTCTAAGTCACTGACTCTCAAGCTGAGGTCCATAGACCCATCTCAGGGACCCAGAAGAAATGCTGGTCTCTGCAACATAAGCTCTGTATACCTTGGCTCACTTGGCTCACTGTTATGTCTATAGATTCTGCATCTTAAACTACATCCTTGGGACAACTGGGGTCAGTGGAAACTACCTCTGATAGAGAAAGGGACAGTCTCAGGTGGTAATTATTTTTTAAATAAATATTTGTAAGAATCAAAAGTCACAACCACCACTGACATTAACACTCCTGGATATACAAGCATGGGGGAGGTTCTCCTGTGCAGAAAAGCTAATGCTGTGCTAGGAATGATCACATCACAGGTGCCCTGCTGACTATTTATTATCAGCAAAAGTGGTGAAAGAGCAACTCTCCTCAAATCAAGTAATTTTCCATAAATGACACCCAACATTTAATCAATTTATAGTCAAAGTTATATAAGGTAGAATCAGATCACTTGTTTTCTGGGGTACCTTTTGAAGCAAATACTTCTTGAATGGTTTAGCAGGAAGTTAATATTATTTATGGGTGTTTAGGAGGATTTTACTGGACAATTAGTTATTCCTGCTTCCAAGCATTTCTAGGCTTACATTATGAGCCACGTTTTGTGGCAGAAATTCCTAGAGTCCAAAATGCCCATTTTACGTGTATTTCAATGTGCCTATTAATTTATTATTCATCTTAAAATATTCATAATAATATTATATTTACCCAGTATATATCCTGATGTCTAGTGAGCCTTACTTTGTGGCAGGAGCTGTGTTTAAAGCTTTATTGCAGCTAATCCTTTCAGCAACCCCATGAGGTGACTACTGATATTTTATCCCTTTTATATCTGGGGAGACTGAGGCTCAGAAAGGTTAAACCACTTGCCCAAGGTCAAGTAGCAAGAAAGTGATGAAACCATGTTTTGAACCCATCTTTCTGACCACATAACCACATTCTGCACAGGTTGTGCTGTGTAGTTTCCTGAGAAATGTGTCTGTTCTGCCAGCAGACACATATTCACTTACAAAGAGGCCTTAATTTGCAAGAGTGGCTGTCAACCCTAGCTCTTCTCAGCGTTGGAAGTGTCCTTAGCATGGGGCCTCTCCCTGTAATGCCAGTTGCTGCCAGATGAAACCTTAGACTCCCTGCTGTCCATTCCCATCCAAAGCTGAATCTCACAGAGGACGTCACAGATGGTGCCCTGCAGGGAGGGGAAGTGTCCACACAGAGAGGGTAGTTGTGCAATACTGTGTTCTTGGATTAGGTCAGATTCTAGGGACACTGCCCCTTGGAGTTTACCTTTGGGACAGGTTTTCCTGGGGCTGCAGGAGACAGGATGACCCATGGGGACACTGCCAAGGATGTTGTCAAAACCGTGCTGCATGGGGCCATCTCTGTGGGCATTCCTGGGGAAGGTCTCAATCTTAACTCTTCGTACCAGGAAAGGCTGTTCTTCTGAGTACTTGGTCTTTATATTGTGGACACAGAGTCCTACACTGATCTTGCTTTGGCTCCCAAGAAACTCAGAGCTGCATTAATCATCCCCTTCTAGAAAGTATAAGGTTCACTGGATATACAGCCTCAAGAATGAAACAGAACATAATTAGGTAGGTAGGTCAGTGGAGAGAAGATAGATAATGAAATGTTGGCAAAATCGGCCCTCAGTCGTGTCCTTTCCTCTTTCTCTGTCCTTTGCCCTATGGACTAAAACTTGAAAAAATAACCCTTTCTTATTCCAGAGCCTGGCAGCCAGCAAATCTGGAGGTTACAGCTTGTTCTCTCATTGACCTGTTTCCCAGGGCCCTCTGAGCAAGGCCCTCCTTCAAAACTGCTTCCAGGAGTGAATCTGGGCCTCTAACCAACACCAATTGCTAATAACTGAAAAAGGTTTAGCCTGCAGCCTTTCTCAGAGGGGTGTACCGTGTGTTGGTCTGTAAACCAAAGGAATGCAGCTCTCAGTGAGACATCTGAGAATTCAGGGCAGGCACCCAGGGGGCCAGGGCTGCACTGTGGCCCCTGCTGGCAGTTGGCCGCAGGGCAGCTGAACTTGGATTCTTTCACCAGGTGCGTCAGTCTTGGCCTTCACCTATCTCCTTCTCCTTTTCTGAGGAAAACTACCCGCTACTGAGCTAGGGGAAGCATCTCCGCATTTTCTGACTTTTCTGCCCTTCTCTCTGCATTTCCTATAGTCTTTGTCCAGAAACGCCCTCAGTAAATGGCAGCAGAATGCACAAAATATGGGAGGCAGGGAGAGGCCTGCAGGCGCAGCACATGTTAGTGCTGGGCCTACATTCTGGTCCCATTTGATGCCCCAGCCACACTCAGATGGTGCAGTCTGAGCAGGATGCCGTGATCCGCATGCCCTCCCTTGACTCTGCTGGCCTCCTCCTGCCCCTTCTGGCATCCCCAGGCCAGGCTTTGGAAAGTTCCCTGAGAACGTGGCAATGTGGCTGGGCCTAAGGGTCGGCACTCATTCTGAGCCCTGAGCCCTGACCCAGACTGGCTGTGAGATGCTGGGAATGCCCCCACCCTGCTGAGCCACAGTGTCCTTGTCTGAAAGCCAAAAGAAGGGCACCGGTATCCTAGGGTTACAGACGGGCTCGCATATTTAAGGTACTTAGGCTGATGGCTTCCTCATCGTCCCCAGGCCAGGGCAGGACCAGAGTTCCTTCAGCCACTGGTGGGCTCTTGCTCTCTGGATCCACCTTAAGACACTGTGGGAAGGAAAGCTGAGCAATTCTGACCCTCCAGTGTTATAGCCAAGGAGACAGAGGCCCAGAGAGAGAAGGCCGTTCCTTAAGTCCATTTGGCCTCTTAATTGAGGAAATGGACTTGAGCCAGGGCTAGTAGGCCTCCCTTCTGAGACCTGATGCTGTGGTTTGGAATTAATGGAGTCATGGGAGAAGCAGCAGGACCTAAGAAGGGGACTTGCCCTTCAAAGCTCATGTCAAGTGTTACCGCCCGTGCGGGCTTCCCAGATGGTCCTGGCCAGGGTTCCCTCTACACCAGGGGGCTTCCGGCAGGAGTGTTGTTGGGTCCTCTAGCTACCAAACTGGACATGTGAGTTTTACATGGAAAGGCCTGTGTTCCATTTTCTCACTGTAGCACTAGACAGAGAAATGCATGGTAGAATGAACAAAGGGGCGCACACTAACGCAGATCTGCTATTTGTAGACTCATGGCACCATTAGCAAAGATTCTTCCCTCCTGCACTTCCTCCCTCCTGATTCTGTCTTTCTGTTGTACTAAGATATCTGATATCGAGAGCCGGATTTCAGCCCTGACCATTGCAGGATTAAACATAGCTCCGTGTGTGCGCCTCACCAGAAAACGAGATCAGAAGCAAAGGAACCAGGTGCGTTGGTCCTTCCCTCCCTCCGTTGGAAGACTGCACGACCTGGGAAATTTGGAAAATAAGGTATCGATATGGAGGCATATTGATTGCCATGTCTGTCTGTAGGTACAAACCATAGACACATCAAGGCAGCAGAGGAGGAAACTGCCAGCTCCACCTGGGAAAGGTATGCTGAAATTAAATCTGCAAAGCTACCAAAGAGTGAAGCCGGACCTGTTTATTTTGAGTTATTTGGAGATCTGAGTTTGAGGGCTAGATCTAAGGGGGAGTTCTCACCCAGAGTTGCTCTTGTGGAAAGTCTATCTTGACTTGAATCCCCCAAGAAGCAGACCCTGAGACAAGGAAAGGATGTGATATGGAGGTGATTCCACATAATGCTGGTGGAGGAAGAGAGAAGTTATTTGGGGACAGAAATTAAGTCAATACAGCGTACTTCAATTAGTAGTTTACTTTGGGCAACTGAGGCTAAATCCTTCTGGGGATGTGTGGGAGACATATGACTGCCCTGGGTGTGTGCTGCTCAAGGAGCAGTAAGGTGAGATACTACCTGGAGGTCACTCTGGGGCAGTGGGGCTCATTAACTCCCTGGTACTTCTGACCTGCCCCACACATGAGCCAAGCAAGAGAGGTGGTGCTTACAGTAGGATGCTGTCAGAATGTGCTGGAATGGTGACTGTCAGGGAGGTGTGGGTGCCCAACCTGGAAGGGAAGTGAGCAATGCCAGTTATGCCACCCTCACCACTGGACATTTCATTAATCTCCCTGGATTCAGGATCCATCCAATATGATACCAAACTAGAAATTTAGGTCTACAAATGAGAAGAGTAGAAAGTCAGAAGATGCATGTTTGAGTCTTGATTCCACCATTCATTGTCCAACAAACACATACAGAGTGCCCACTTTGTGTTCCACAAAACCCTATATAACCAAAATTTATTACAGATGATCCCTTGTTAGAAACCCTTTTGTCAGTACATGTTTCAGAATTCCTGGGACCTTAGAAAGGTAATATGTTACATGTGCTATATTTTCATAACAGCCCCCTCCCCCGGAGGTCTGGGCCATCGTCTGATAAACCCATTAATATCCTTGCAGCAAAGTGTGAGAATGTTCACAGTTGGTGGGACGGACAAGGATTTCAAGTGGAGGCAAGTCAGTTCAAGTCAGGTTTTGCCATCAGACAATTTTGGCTCCAAAGTTGTAAAGATTTGCAGTTTTTAGAGCCTGTCATGTTTCAGAATTGCACGTGAGAACTTACGGGCTGTACTGGGTTATCCTCAAGCTACCATCTCCCAGAAAGCTCTAATAATGCCTTGAGTTATTTGGTTCATCATAAAAATAAACACAAAACAAAAAGATTCCACAATCAGACCTATGGACCAAATCTAGAATGCAATGCCAAGTTTTGGGTGAAAATCTGGGTGATCTGGCACCTGGTCTTTCTTCCTGAGCAACCAGTCCAGCTTCTGGGTAATGCTTACTCCCATTTGTTTCCTGTTAGCTGAAAAAACGGAGGCATCTTCAGTGACCATTAAAACATTTAACCGCAACTTCGTTCTCCAAGGCTCCTCGATAGACAGGACTGTAGAGAGGAAAAGCTCCAGCAAGGACTCGCCGGTGAGTGGCCCTGCCTGCTGCCCACACTCTCTCAGTCCCTGGCATACCTCCACTCTGCAGCTCCATAGTCTTCTGGCATAGTCTCATGGTTTGTTGGTTGGGTGGTGAGGGTAAAGAGAGGTAATGAATTGCTAACCTCTTTGATATGTGGACACACAGTCTCAACAGTATCTCCAGCTCCTTATAAGAACCAGGTTTGATGTAAGAGAAATAGAAATACGTACACAGGAATGTAAGGTCTGGTTGAGGTATAAAAGTTTTTATTCTGTCTTTGATCCCTATCCACGCTTCCTTAAATTTCTTGTTAGCCATTAATTACTTGTGTTCCTGAAAAAAGTCAGCAGCTGCCCCTAAATGTGGCAAAGGAAGGAGGAGTTTGATTTGCACAAACTGGAGATCATATAGAGAGGGCTTACAGATTGTTTGGCTAAACACCAACATATGCTCCAAAATTTTGGCAAATGCTTGATGCCGCTGCCATGGGAAATGACCATCCAGCTAAACCGCCTTTGTTCCATAATGAGCCATTGTAGAGGGTGGTGGTGTCTGCAGTGACAAGATAAGCAAGGACCAATGTATTCTGCTGCCTTTTCTGTGTCCCCTGCCCCTCCTTGCCCTCCACCCGTTGTCAACCCTGTGTCAGGAGCCCAGACCGCTGGTCATGGCCTGATGGAGGCAGCCCCTTTTGAGCGGAGGCTGCTGCATCTCTCGGGCACCATGTAGCAACATGCTGCTCATGGCCTCCCCCACCGGTCAGCCATTGCCCCTGACCCTTCAACATTCACTTACCGTGCTCCTGGCTATTAATACAAAGGACTAAAAAGATGCATTATCACACTAAAAGAGCAGGCAACTAGGGCCAGGAAGAATCTGTTATAAGTAAGAGAGTTTAGTATAAATTATTTTTCATAGAGATAAAAAGCAGGTCACTGGTTGCCAGGGGATGTGGGGAGGTTTTACTTTAGAATGATGGTATGTTTTGAAACTACATATAGTGTTTGCCCAACATGTGGATGTACTAAATGCCACTGAATTGTTCACTTTAAAACAGTTAATTTTATGTTATATGAATTTTCACCTCAAGAAATTATTTTTAAAAGTAAATTCACACAAAGAAGTTAAAAATTAAGGAATGGATAGTATTTACTAACCAAATGCAAACAAAGAGGAAAGGGCAGAAACACTACTTTCAAACAAAGTAGAATTCAAGAGCAGAAGCTTTCAGAGAAAAGGAGAGATGTTTCAATTTAGATACAGTAAGGAGGTATCCTTTCTTGATTTGGCAAACAACAGAGCAACACAATTTATTGTGCTATGGTTGGTGACTTTAAAATTCCTTTGTCAGCCCTTGGAAGCCCAAGTATACCAAAAATAAATACAAGTTAGAGAATTTGAATAGTGTGATCATTAAGCTTTAGTTAAGATATTTATTTAACTTCATACTCTACAGAGGATCCACCTTTTTTCCAAACATTAGTGGACCATTTATAAAAATTTGTTTTATACAAAGAAAGCCTCCATAAATTCCAAAAAGGAGAAAGTATAAAACTACCTTCTGTGACCTCAACTTGGAAAATATTTTCAAACAGTGCTGTCCAATAGAGCCTTCTGAAATTATGGAAATGTTCTATATTTGAAGTAACCAATATGGTAGCCACCAACCACATATGGCTATGATCCCTTGAAATGTGGCTACTGCCTTGAAGGCACTGATTTTTTAAATGTACTTAATTTTAGTTATTTTAGATGTAAACAGCTACATGTGGGTAGTGAATACCATACTGGACAGAGAAAATGTAGAAAACTAGCATGAAAGTTACAACAGAAACTCTACTTGGAAGTCAGAAAGTGTGTGCACGCACATACACGGCCATACATACACACGCACACCACGTGGGCCGTTTCCAAGTAACTACTGCATTAAAGAGGAAAGCAAGTCCACAGAGTATTTAGAAAATGAAAACATTTCATATATCAAAACAAATGGGATACATATAAAACTACACCGAGTCAAAATCATAGTATTGAATATTTTCTCCATTATTAAAGAAGCAAAACTAATGAACAGGACATTGAATTCCAGACTTGAAAGATGAGTGCAAAACCAATTAAGACCAGAAAACTGTGAAAATGATCATGAATCCAAGAGGTTACTCTTTGGAAAAATATGAAAAAGTAAGTGTTTTGTGAGCCAAATCAAGAAAAAAAATAAAAGAGATTCTAATGAAGATGCAAATGTTTTATTTAAATATTCAATGTAATATAAATCTATGCTAATAAATTTAAAGTCTTAATTCTAATTAAATCAGAATATTAGTAAAAACTGACAAATAAAAATTTTTAATTTATTAAAACTTCAAAGACAGATTTTCTGGCAAAATGGTTTTGCTGATAAAATTTTCAGGGATGTTTAATTCCTATGCAATATAAAATATTCCAGAACATTAAAAAAATTGCAAACTGAAAGATTCATGTTGTGAAGCTACTATAACCCCAACTCCCAGACCCTGACCTGGCTGATAAGCGTGTACATCTGCTCCATGCCCCTCACACACAGGCACACACAGACATGCACAAACCACACTCCAGTTGTACTTCTTCAGATATACAGAGATGCAGCATACTAAATAAAATATTAGCATATTAAATGCAGCAGTACATGAAATATAAATCACCAGGTAAATTTTATAGGAATACCAGGATACCTTTAATATTAAGATACTGATAAACACCAATAATTTATTAAGAAAAGTAATTTCTTCCCAAAATAATTTATAGTTTAATCTAATTCTCATACAATTCTCAGTGGGATGTTCTTTTGAACTCAAGTTCATATAAGAATAAACCAGAAAGAACTGGCAAAGGCATTTTGCAAAATTGAAGTGATTTTTCCTGCCAGATTTTAAAACAAATTAAGAGCTATAGATGAGTTGATGATAAAGGTATAGAATAGAATGCTGAGAAATAGATACAGGCATATATGAAGAATGTATCTTATGATTTTTAAAACATTAACAAATAGAGAAGGTATATATTGTTCTAAAACTGCTGGGCAAGTTGTCCATGGATAGTAGTGGAAAGGGAATAAAATTAAATAGTTGTCTTACTCCATATGCCAAAATAAGCTTCAGATGGATTATGTAAAAAAATGCATCACTTTTTCAGTATTGTGAAATATGTAACTGGTCAATGAGCATGAACACCTTTTAAGGTAAAAAAAAAAAAAGCACAGTAGACTTGGTTTTCATTGCCTCTTCTCAGTTTTACCAAGTGGCTGAGAGCAGGTGTTCGCTGTCTCCCTCAGGAGCCTGCCCAGGAGTCGGCTGCCATGTATTAGCGCCATGGAACCCCACTGCCAGTGACCCACTGCCGCCAGCCGTACCCAACAGTGCCTTGACCCACAGCCACCAAAGCCTGCACGGATTTCCACCTGAGGAGAGAGCCTGGGAGGCTCAGTGCCACTGCCCACTGCAAGGGCTGCCCGATACCTAGGCCCAGTGCCCTCCCAGAGCCAGCATGGCGCTGGCGTCCGCTCTCTGCCTTAGGCCCCCAGGGAATCCGAGATGCTGGCAGCCAACAGCAGAGCTCCACCTTTTCCCAGGTTGCTTTGCTGCTGTGTGTTGTCTTAGTTTTTTTTTTTTAATCCCTTGGTTCAACTAGAATCACATGTCAAGTATTTCTCCAAAGGAAAATGGCTGGGGTGGGGGCGCGGAGGGGAGGGAGATGGGTACTATCATTTCATCTGTTACCAGTTCTCGTTAGTCACTCACAAGCACCTTTGTCCTACCAATGCTAAGGGGAAGTGAAGATGCCCCTGTATGCACAAGCAACTGTCTACTTTGGGGAACACTCACCCATCCAGGATGCAGGTCTCCCTTCAGCCACCTCCTTCCTGCTAGACTGCCTGCAGCCCTCCCTGCCATTCCCATGGCTTGTAGTCAAGCCAGAATACAAGCTCTGATTCACCCGTGCCCTGCCAGGTCCTCCTGCAACAACATCCCCTTGAGGACATGCGCTTCTTCCCTGGACTTACTGAGGTTCCCCACTCCGAAGGGGAGGGGGCTTGACTTAACTTTGTGGCCCTGTCCAGAATCAACATGATGCAGCCCAGCAGTGGCCACAGATGAGAGTCAGGTAAGTGGGTTCCTTACCTAAATGAACTACAACCATGTCAGAAAATGTCCTCCAAAATTTATTTCCCAATAAATATTCAGCAAAAGTAGTAAAATGAAATGACTTAAAGATAAAAATTGTTAAGGAACAGCCTTAGAAAACATACAGGTAAGAAGAAAACAAGGACAAACTAAATTTAATGAACACAAACGTCAACATGAACTGCACATTTGTGGTCTCAAATGTATGATGGCCCAGAGTGTGTTTAAGCACATGGAATTGAATTTCATTTAACTGAACATTAACAGCCTTTTTAAAATTTGCCTCTGATATATTCTAAATCTAAGAAAACAGAAGGCAGGAGGCAGGGGAACAGCATGACCAATGTTTACTCAGCGACTGTGTGGAAGGAGGCAACACTCTCCTCATTTCATTCCTATAGCAACCCTATGCAGCAGGCATGCCCACTTTGCAGATTTGGAAACTGAGGGCCAAAGAGATTACTTTTCCCAAGTCACACCTTCAAGCTAAGTATAACCAGGATGCCTCCCAAAAGCCTCACTCTCTTTCCAACTCTGCATCCTTGCTGCTGTGCACCTGACTGGGCCTGATGTTCTGCCGAAGTGTGTGATGACCCACTCTTGACAGGGGTCTACCTACCTTCCAATAATACTCCTTGTCGATGCTGTGTATGTGGTAAACAGAAATGACTCCTTTGAAATAAACTACATCTTTGGATTTTTGTTCTGTTGGTGTGACTCAAAGAAAACATACAAAATTTAAAAACACTACGAAAAAAAGGTCTGAGCTCCAAATAGAACTCAGACCTTTTTTCTTTAAGAGGCATGAAAAGCAACTATTGTGTCACGGTGTTAAAATATTTCAATTTTCTTTGACAAAAATGTGTACTGTGTAAGCCTTGCGGAAAAAAAAAAAAGCAGCTGCCTGCTCTATGGCATTTGAAATTTTATAAAGGGTTCCTTGTGCCAAATAAGTGCAAGTATTTAATTTACTATTAGAAACCATAAGCATCTGTTATAGTTCCAGAAGAATTATTTTATCATCAAGTGATTTTGATCTTCAGTGTCAATATTTATATTCAGATTAATTTTTATAAATGAAAATATTTTAATGATCTAAGAAAATGCAAAGAGGCCCATGTCTTAATGATTTCTGAAATGCTTGCCTTCATGTGACATGCACATTGCCAAGACTTACTGTCAAAAGACATGATTAAGAAGTAAAAGTCATTTATGAAAATCACGTTTGTGGGCATGTGCTGTTTTGGTCGGAGAGGACTGGGAGTGAAGAGCAAACAGGGAAAGATGTTGACAGGTGGCCCTTGGAGGGGCTGAGACCCAAAGCCGCTGCTGGCCCTTCCAGCCACTCGCCTCTCCGTCACTTGTTCTCCTGAGAACACGGTTTCCCAGTGACCACGTTTACAGAGAGGTTCTCAAAGCCAGGAGTGGAGTGGGCAGGGTGTCACCTCACTGATGTCACAAATGAGGTGAGGGCTGTTGCTGTTCGCACACAGCGGCAGCTGCTGAACATCTGCAATGACCAGGACACACCCCAAAGGGTTAGCCAAGGCTGAGAACCCCAGGTCAGACCCTGGACGTAAGCCTGGATGTCAGAGGAGAAGCCCCTCCTGATCACTGTGGGGTCCGTGTAGCTGAGCAGGAATCAGGACAGTGATTCTCCCTGAGGTTTTCATAGGCTCAGTGGCAACTGTCACTACTCTGAGGCTGGTCTGCCCAGGCCTGGCCCCTGTCATCCCCAGACAGGAAAGGAATCCTCCACTAACCTGAAATGAGTAAGTGAATAAAAATGCTAATAGAGCTGAGAGTCTTCTCCTTCAGGTAGCCTAGGACAGTAGTGCTCATACTTGAGTGGGAATCAGCACCACCAGTAAACACTTGATTCATGGGATAAATCCAGTGCTCCCAGTCCTTGTCTACCTTTCTACACTACCACTCCTATGCCCAGCTCAGTAATGCTGGCTGAGCATTAATAACAAGCTCACATTTAGGTTGACAGGGCATTTCAGATGGGGGTAGTGGGAGGGAGATAACATTTTTCCCTAAGAAATAAATGTTTGATTTGCCATGACACACACAAAAAAAATGTGACCCAATATTCAAAGCAGTTGAAGGCTGCCAGAAAAAACTTCCATGTACTGGCTCCGCAGCTTATCACTTCATCCATAAAATGGGTTACAAAAATCTTCCTCATGGTGTTGTTAAAGGTTAAATGAATCAACATGAGAAATTCAGTAAAATGCTTGGTAACCACAGGCACTCAGAGCTTGTTTCCTGATTCTCTTAGGAGAAGAAAATCGTTGAAATATCGGCACCATGACTTATGCAAAACGCTGTGCCTCAGAGTCTACTCACTGCCCTAAAATATTTATGCCTGTTCCTCTACCTCTGGGAGGTGCACTTCCCTGCCCCACTGAACCTGGGCTTGGCTGTGTGGCTTGCCTCATGGTCAGTGGAGCATAGCTCTGTGTCTTAGTCTCTCCTGGCTGCTATAACAAAACACCAGAGACAGAGTAGTTTATAAACAACAGAATTTTTTCACGTTCCTGGAGGCTTGAAGTCCAAGGTCAGGGTGCTGGTGTGGCTGGGTTCCACCAAGAGCTATTGCTGACTACCAACTTCTCGCTGTGCCTCAGTTGGTAGAAGGGGTGAGGAAGCTCTCTGGAGCCTCTTTTTAAAGTATCCTGCCCCAATCATGCAGGCAGACCTCCTATGACCTAATCACCTCCCAAATGCCCTACCTTCTATTATCAATGGTTTGGGCTTGGCCATGTGACTTCCTCTGGCTAATGAGATTATTAGCCAAATAGCTAAATAAAAGGCTTGAAATATGTTTATGGAGTTGGGCTTGTCCACTTACTGGTAGGTAAATTTTGCAGTTCGCTACAAAGTATTCCACAGGCAGCCCACTGGTCCAAGGAACAGATTCATACCCAACCTGCAGCCTGAAGACAGCCTTAGCTCAGTCCAGCAAAGATGAGCAAAGCCACCCAGCCAACCTGCAGACATATGAGCAGAAGAAACGATTACTCTTTTAAACACTGAGTTTGCAGGTGGTTTATTATGCAGCAACAGCTAACTGATACACTACTGAAAATTTAGTTTCATCACCTTAGATTAATCCTTGTTAACACAAGGGATGAAGATGAGTTAATATCAAAAGTAAAGTCACATGTCAATATAAAGGATTATAAGCAAGCCTACAAGAGATTCTCTTCAAACCTAAAGACACACAGACTAAAAGTCAAGGGATGGGAAAAGATATTTCATGCAAATAATAGGGAGAAAAAAGCAGGAGTAGCTGTACTTATATCAGACAAAACAGATTTCAAAACAAAGTAATAAGAGACAAAGAAGGACATTATGATAAAGGGGTCAGTCCAACAAGAGGATATAGCCATTATAAATATCTATGCACCCAATATAGGAGCACCTACATATGTGGAACAAACACTAACAGAAATAAAGAGGGAAATAGAATGCAATGCAGTCATTTTAGGAAACTTCAAACACCACTCACACCAAAAGACAGATCATGTAAGGACACAGAGGCACTGAACAACACATTAGAACAGATGAACCTAACAGACATCTTTAGAACACTCCATCCAAAAGCAGCACGATACACATTCTGCTCAAGTGTACATGGAACATTTTCCAGAATAAATCACATACTAGGCCACAAAAAGAGCCTCAGTAAATTCAAAAAGATTGAAATTGTGCCAACCAGCTTCTCAGACCACAAAGGTATAAAACTAGAAATAAATAATGCAACAAAAACAAAAAAGCCCACAAACACATGGAGGTTTAACAACATGCTCCTAAATAATCAATGGATCAATGACCAAATTAAAACAGAGATCAAACAATATATGAAGACACATGAAAACAACTCAACTGCCCAAAACCTGCAGGATACAGCAAAGACAGTTCTCAGAGGAAAGTATATAACAATACAGGCTTACCTCAATAAAGAAGAACAGTCCCAGATGAACAGTCTAAAATCACAATTAATGAAACTACAAAAAGAACAAACAAGGCCCAAAGTCAGTAGAAGGAGAGATATAATAAAGATGAGAGGATAAATAAATAAAATTGAGAAAAATAAAACAATAGAAAGAATCAATGAAACCAGGAGCTTGGTTCTTTGAAAAAATAAAAATAGATAACCCCCTAGCCAGACTTAACAAGAAAAAACATAAACAATCAGAAATGAAAAATGAAAAATCACTACAGACACCACAGAAATTCAAAGAATTATTAGAGAATACTATGAAAAGTTATGTGCCAACAAATTGGATGACCTAGAAGAAATAGACAACTTCCTAGAAAAATACAACCTTCCAAGACTAATCCAGGAAGAAACAAAACCTGAACAGACCAACTACCAGCAATGAAATCAAATTGGTAATAAAAAAGAAATCCCCAAAAATAAATTCCAAGTGCAGACGACTACACAGCCAAACTCTACCAAATATTTAAAGAGCTAATACCCATCCTTCTTAAAGCATTCCAAAAAGTAGAAGAGGAAGGAATACTTACAAACTCATTCTATGAGCCCAGCATCATTCTAATGCCAAAACCAGACAAAGACACTACAAAAAAAGAAATTTACATTCCAATATCCCTGATGAACATAGACACAAAAATTCTCAGTAAAACATTAGCAAACAAAATCCAAAGATACATAAAAAAGACCATCCATCATGACCAAGTGGGATTTATTCCAGGAATGCAAGGATGGTATGATATTCATAAATCAATCAATATCATACACCACATTAACAAAAAGAAAGATAAAAAACCACATGATCATCTCAATAGGTGCTGAAAAACCATTTAACAAATTCAACATCCATTCATGATTTTAAAAAACTCTCAACAAAATGGGTATAGAGGTATGTACCTCAACATAACAAAGGTACAACAAACCCACAGACAACATCATACTTAACAGTGAAAAGCTAATCAATATCATACACCACATTAACAAAAAGAAAGATAAAAAACCACATGATCATCTCAATAGGTGCTGAAAAACCATTTAACAAATTCAACATCCATTCATGATTTTAAAAAACTCTCAACAAAATGGGTATAGAGGTATGTACCTCAACATAACAAAGGTACAACAAACCCACAGACAACATCATACTTAACAGTGAAAAGCTGAAAGCTTTTCCTCTAGGGCTGGGAACAAGACAAGGATGCCCACTCTTACCACACTTATTCAATGTAGTACTGGAGGTCCTAGCCATGGCAGTCAGACAACACAAAGAGATAAAAGGCATCTAGATTGGTAAGGAAGAAGTTAAACTGTCATTATTTCCAAAGGACATGATAATATACATAGAAAACCCTAAAGACTCCACCAAAAAACTACTAGAACTAATAACTGAATTCAGCAAAGTTGCAGGATACAAAATTAATACACAGAAATCTGTTGCATTTCTATATACTAACAACAAACTAGCAGAAGGTGAATTCAGGAAAACAATTACATGTACAATTGCATCTAAAAGCAGAAAATACCTAGGATAAGCCTAACCAAGGAGGTGAAAGACCTCTACTCTGAAAACTATAAGACACTGATGAGAGTATTTAAGGAGACACCAATATATGGAAATCTATCCTGTGCTCATGGATAGGAAGAGTTAATATTGTCAAAATGGCCATCCTGCCTGAAGCAATCTTCAGATTCAATGCAATCCCTATCAAAATTCCAACAGCATTCTTCAGTGAATGAGAAAAAGTAGTTCTAAAATTCATATGAAAACACAAAAGACCCCAAATACCCAAAGCAATCCTGACAAGGAAGAACAAAGCTGGGGGAATTAAGCTCCCTAACTTCAAGCTATGCTACAAAGCCACAGTAATCAAAACAATTTGGTACTAGCACAAGAACAGACCCATAGATCAATGCAACAGAATAGACAGCTCAGATATAAACCCACACATATATGGCCAATTAAGATATGATAAAGAAGTCATGAATATACAATGGGAAAAAGACAGCCTCTTCAACAACTCATGTTGGCAAAACTGGACAGCTACATATAAGAGGATGAAATTGGATTATTGTCTAACTCCATACACAAAAGTAAACTCAAAATGGATCAAAGACCTGAATGTAAGTCATGAAACCATAAAACTATAGAAGAAAACATGGGCAAAATCTCTTGATTATAAACATGAGCAACTTTTCCCTGGACACATCTCCTAGGG